TCTCGCGAGTTATGGAGAAAGTTGTCAAAGATCAGTTGTCAGACTATCTACTTAGGAAAGATCTTGTTACAATGTCTCAACACGGATTCCTCAAAAATAGGTCCTGCGTTACTTGCCACTTCGACATTTTAAAATGCATCACCAGTAGTCGCGAAGCACGTGAGCTAGTCGTTGTTCTCTTCTTTTTGGAATCTAGGGCATTTGACATGGCATCTCACAGTATTCTCTTTGAGAAGCTGTACTCATGTGGAATTTGCAAACCATAACTGAACTGGTTAAAGTCATCTCTAAGTAACAGGGTACAAATAACCAAAGTTGAATCCGTATTGTCTCATCCTAAGCAGATCACAAGTGGGGTTGTGCAAGGTAGTGTCCTAGGACCACTTTTATTTACAGTCTACATTAACAGCATTTGCAACTGCTTCGCCTCAGGTAGACCATTCCTAGATGCTGACGACCTCAGAGTTGTTTACTCCTGCCACAGTCATGAATTAAACCCAATGGTAAGTAAAATACGTCTGGAACTAAATGGTCTCGGAACATGTTGTGTTGACGTCGACAGAAGCGTCTGGATTTGTATCGGCAACAGTAATCTTGACATAAATCTAGAAGTTAATGGACAAAACCTAGCCAAGCTGAACTCAGTCATAGACCTCGGTATCAGATACTCAAGTAACTCAACGTTCTCTGAAAAAACTGATTATGCCAGACCAAAAACACGAAGGCTCCTAGGGTGCATAAATCTCAATTTCTTTTGTCGCGAAACTTTGCTTTCATTACATAAAGTATGTGTCCGACCTATCTTGGGATACTGCCCGTTTATGCTTAGCGGACTGCAACAGAATGACAAGCTTAAATTAAAGGGGGTGCAACGGCAGTATACCTCAAGAACTCTTGGTTTAGAATGTAGTCTCGAATACTCTGAGGGTTGCAACAGTCTGAAGATAGAACACCTCTGGAAAAGACGTCTCAAGCTAAACGTTATTTTCCACTACAAGCTAACTAATCTTCTCTTGCACTCCTCCAGGCCAATAACTAAATCTACCTCTGTCATCAGTTACAATCTTAGAAATCACGACAACCTAGTTGCTATAGAGCATTGTCAGACTTAAATGCGGTACAACTTCTTCTTAAATAAGTTTACAGTCATTTGGAATAGACTACCAGCTGATGTGCGAGATGCAGACACACCCCCAGTGTTCATCTCTCCCGTCACCAGACTGCCTAAAGATGACAATGCACACTCGCATCTGAATCCTACACCCTCTTTTTCACCCCACATAGATATTTTAACTTCACTAAACGTATAAGTTACAGCAAACTACAGTTATAAATGTTGATATTATTGGAAGTACATAATAAACACTTCTCCACAGGACATTAATATTAGTTCACACATAATGTAGAGGTTAGCGCAACATATCTAGTTAGTTAGTGTACCAAAATAAACATAGTTACTACACAGAACATATATATATACATAAATTTATTAATCACTCCTTGAGGACTCCACTTGCTTTCTTCTGTGCGACTATCGTTTGTCTTCTTTTCTCTCTCGCCATTTTAGCTTCTATATGACTTTTTGAATGAGAATAAAGAATGTAGATATTTGACCACTTGCAATGACAAATGATCTGCAAACACTAGTCGTCCCATATCCTAAAACTGCCTCGTGAATTACCCATTACTTTCCTCTGCTACACATCCTGGATTACAGTCGTGGAATATACCTTTATACCAATGAAAAATATCAATTTATAATACTTCACGATTGTAATTTATAAAATGACTAATCGTACCTGTAAAAATGGCTTGCATGTCTTGTAAACACCCGTTTATAAGAAAATATAAACTACCGTTATTATTAGTCAGGTGCGTCTGTGGCATAGCAGTTAGGACGCTCGCCGACCATGCACATGGTCCGGGGTTCGATCACCGGCCGACGCACTCCTTTACCTCACAAAGCCAGAAATAATGCTGGTAAAGTGGAAAGGCTGGGCATGAGGCTAGCAACCCCATCCTGTAAAATAAACACTGCTACGGAAACTTCAAGCCACTAGCTTGAAGCCCTATGTTCCACTGGGGAACGTGAAGGAAAAAAATATATTTAAAAAAATTTTTAAAAATATTATTAGTCAACGTTGAGTACAATTCGCTTGTGATGTTACGATGACGATTCCGAAAAAATTATACAAATACATCACTTATTTTAAATTAATACCCAGCTTGGATATATATAAATAATAATAATAATTTTTGCTTTATTTATATGAAGAATAAGAATCGATACCGTACACAGCATAGTTATGTGGGGGAATGACTTCAGGCTATATTTTTCCCCCAACTTTTGTAATCCATTTTTTGTCAATGCGAAGATAATATTTCTATATTTCTTGATGTGCTCCATTGAGTGACCAGTCAACAAGCTGTTCCCACAAACTGAAACTAAAGTGAACGGCAACCATGTAAATTCACCATAAACCAAATTTACGTGATTTAAATAACACTCATCCATACCTGTATAACTGGTGTGTTCCTACATACATAGGAATACATATGTATTTTACTATATTATTATTAAATATGCTTACTGATCGTATATGTAATTTGTCACATTGATGATTCCTGTAAATTGGTGTCCCTCATGTCCAAAAATTAGAAAATAATATTATTGATACTAGTAAGATAAAGTGGCTATTTAGATTTTGGAAAAGCTTATAGGAATAATTTAATATAACAGGGAGGGAAAATTTCCATAAGGTCTACCGAGAAGCCCGAAATCTCTGTAGGTGTATGATTGAAAAGTGTCGTATAGTGTACGAGAGACAGCTAGTACTGGATTGTGTTCATTAACCAGAAAAGCTGTAGTCGTAGGACTAAAATTAGCAATGGTATACAGTCACTCATAATCATTAGTGGGGAAATGAATTTATCTGACTTACGAAGGGCTTAAAACCTCCCTGATTACTTCTGTGACGTCTTCTCGTCTGATCGTACCACCCAAGGATATGGCGAGGTCACTGACATCTCCACTAAGATGCCCTCAATTGTGGAATAGAACACGACGGCCCTCACACTACTATCTAAACTGAAGCCAGGTAAATCACCTGGACCTGATGGACTTCACCCTAAACTGTTAATTTCCTTGGCGGCTGTGATATATATTCCACTTAAGGAGATTTTCCGAATGTCTCTGACCCAGGCTAAGCTATCCAGGGACTGGAAGGATGTCATCTTCAGAGAAGGGGACATGCAATTGGTATCCAACTACCAGGCGTCAAGTCTGACATGCATTATAGCAAAGTTACTGGAAACAATTATAAGGGATCAGCTATTAGCTCATGTGGAAAAACATGGCTTGCTGGCGTGAAACAGTAGGACGATCTTGCCTGCCTTGTCTAGGAAAGACTGGGTTGAGGTCAGAGATAAAAACCCTCTGTTGGACGTGGTTTTTATCATTCCTAGTAATGCATTCGATAACGTATCCCATTTAAGTCGTCTTAGTAAACTTCAAGGTTTTGCACTAGACCAATGTCTATGTGATTGGTTTAGGGTTTACCTCATGGATAGAAGGCAACAGGTAGGAGATGACAGTGTACTGACAGGATGGGAAGCAGTTTCCCATGGAGGGCTTCAGGAAACTTTATTAGGCCTCTAGAGACTGCGGGTATCGACGTTCGCGAGTTGTACGGATTATACTAACGCAAGATCTTATACCAACAACTTCTATAGTGTTCGTTCTTCGAGTACCAAATGGTAAAGCAAAAGACCAGATTTTGTCATCCAAAGTACGTAGTATATTTCGGGACAAAATCGCGGGTAGAGGTGAATGCTTAGCTAGCTAGTAATCGTGCACGCACGTGACACGACGGAGCACCAAATGGCCGGGATGCTTGACCGTAAGCCTTCAGCTAAACAAGTCGACTTAAACAGTGATGGTCAGCATCCAATATTGAGTGATGATTGCTGTGGTTAATAATTTTGGGGAATTATTTACCGCTACAGGCCCTTTGCTATTCCACTTATATGTCAATTAACTGCTGGCGATTCTTACTTCATATTCATTACTGTTTGCGGACGACATGTGGTCGAACCTGTGGAGTTTGGAAACTAATTCTCGGAAAAGCGCGGTAATGCGCTTAGGTCTGAAGTCTTATACGTCCTATTCCCTAGTGGACACAGAACTACCCGTTGTTAACGGGTAGAAGGACCTAATAATCATAGTCAGCAGTGATTTGAAAACAACTCTGAATTGCATTGCAGCCTCAGCTAAGGCTTTTCGAATGCTATGGTCACGCCGAAGAGCTGTCAAACGATTAGATGAGTCTCAGTTCAACATATGTCAGGCCTCATCTAGAATACTGCATACAAGCGGCTATTTCATGCATCAAGAAGGTGGGACACATTTTAGAAAGAGTACAAAAAGGTAGGAACCAAAATAGCCGGTGGTATCTGACACCTTCCTCATGACAAAGGAATGGCGCATTTAAATCTCTTCCCTTTATCGCCCCGACCGGAGAGGCGACTTAATTTTAGCAAACCGTATACTTAAGGGTGATTTAAGAATTGACCTTTCTAACCTTTTCTCCCCTTCTAGAATACATTTATGAGGTCACAGCTTAAAAGGTGATCAAACCGAGGACGATTAAAATACGTGCAGAATTTATATTCTCTCACAAAGTGGTCAACGACTGGAATTCCTTACCTATTTAGAGGTTGCAGGTATCGAACGTTCGCGAGTTGTACGGATTATACTAACGCAAGATCTTATACCAACAACTTCTATAGTGTTCGTTCTTCGAGTACCAAATGGTAAAGCAAAAGACCAGATTTTGTCATCCAAAGTACGTAGTATATTTCGGGACAAAATCGCGGATAGAGGTGAATGCTTAGCTAGCTAGTAATCGTGCACGCACGTGACACGACGGAGCACCATCGGTGAATGCTTTCAAAGAAAAACTAGATCTCTCCGGGGATACATATTGCAAGGATTAATACAGGCAACAACAGCCTTCTATCCTCATAATCTGAATATGAATATAAAAGGATAAGCGGCTGCAATGAACTAATGCGGTACGTTGACTGCCTGAGGTGTTGTTAATTGGTGTTATGAAAGTATTGGAAATTAATAAAGTGTGTTGTGCCAGAAGGAGTTAATAATGAAAACTGGGGAATTTGGACAGGAACCCAGACATTTTGAGACCTAAAGAACACATGAATCCTCCCCATGAAGCGATAAGCTTATCACATGTTCATAGCTGTGGTAGATCAAAGAAATTAGTACCATAGACACTCGGTGACTAAAAATTACTAATAAATCTCAGGGAGCTGCTGGAACTAGTAACCTAGGCAAAATGCGATATACACCCCAGCTGGTATTGACTTCGGGCACACTGCAAATACTTAAGGGTAGACTGTATGCAAAGCTCCCGGAGTTTTACGATCAGAGACTTCTGCAGTGCGCCCTAAGAAAATGTGAGCTTAGACAGAGCGTGTCCCATCAGGGTATTCCTTACAAACGCGTTCATGCCTTTGACGTCCGGTTTGAATAATTGCTAAATAACCTGAGTACACATGGACTGAGGCTACTGTCACATCTGTCAAGACTGTATTTTCACCCATTGACGTTTCTCGTGTTCCGTTATAGATTCTCCTGGTTTCTTAACGAAACAATCTCTGAAGATCCTCTGGATATTGACAAAGCCGCTTCGAACCATCTTTATCCGCAAATATGGGAAAAAAAGATAAACCTAAGGGGAATAAAGCTGAACATACCAAGAAATCACAAAGAAAATTGGAACTGAAGCTTAGGAAGGTCGAGAGGCAGTCCGGAGAGTCTTCACTCGAGGATTTAATCCAAAGTTTCAGAGATCATCAGAAAAAAATCACGACAACAACGCTGGTCGCAATATCTGCTCCTGCTCCAAGGTTCTAGCTTTCCTTTTCTTAGTTAACGTAAAGGTCTCATTTTTCTTTAGTTTCATGCCCAGATAGTGAAGAGCTGATTATGTTTGGTGGTGAATTCTTTGATGGACGAAGGGTTGTTCCTGAATTTCGTTTGATATTATCTAGGTTAAAATGTTTTCCGATCTTCTAATTTATCAATGTAAAGTCAACCAGTGGCTTAAACTGGAAACCCCTAACTGCCCAACACCACGATCAGGCCATCAGGTTAGATAGTTTTATTTTAGTATAGTATTAAAGGCGGTGTACGTAAAAACTGAATCCACCCCTTCGAGCATTTGGATATTTGGAGGAGAGTTCGTATCACCATCTCAAACCAGATTTTATCACTACAGTGATTTGTGGTGTCTTCGCTTACGATCTCAAAAATGGGAGCTAATAAAGTTTGTTATGAATCCTAAATAATAATAATTCTCAGCTCATTTGGACCATGTGCAAGAAGCGGACATCGTATGATTACTTGGGGAAATAAAATCTTACTATTTGGTGGTTTCAGTGATACTGGAAGGTTAGTTTCTTATGTACTAATGAGTTCAGTAAAACAACTTATTTTGATGATTTGTGGCAGTTTGATCTGACCGTCTTACAATGGACGCGTCTCGCACTAAGTGGAAGTGCACCAAGTCCTCGCTCAGCTTCTTTGTTCTTTGCCGGAGCTAATCAAAAGTACGTGTTCATCGTTGGAGGTTACAGTAAGTCTGCCGTTACTCGGGATCAAGAGAAAGGCATAGTTTACTCCGATGTAGTCAGACTTACGTTTGAAAGTAAGTGTGGCTCTTACTCTACGTTGAAAACACAAGTGTTATATCATCTGACATATTTTGTTTGTGCAACCTGCCCTCTATAGGAAATTCTCCGGTTGCCTGCTCCGTCATTAGATCTTCTGGCACGCGCCCCAAGCCACCTCGTATCTCCATGAGTGGTGTTCATGTTGGTGGCAATCGTGCTTTTTTATTCGGTGGTGTACATGATGTTGAAAGTGAAGATGGAGAGAAGATGAACAGCTATTTCCATAATGATTTGTTTCTGTTGGATTTCGAGAAAGCCAAGTGGCGTATATTCAATTTTGATGTAGAAAAAGCTGCGCATTCAGGTTAGAACTTATGCAATTAATTTGATAAATGGGAAATTTTTATAATTGGTCTAAAAATCCAGCTTGCACTATTTATTATGGGCGGTTTGATGTACAGATAAAGTAGAATACGGTAATCGTAACTTTCCTTTCCACGTGAAACATAGGGCTTCAACTTTTGAAGTAGCAGTAGTAGTGTTGTTACTCCCTTTTATGGAGCAGTATTACTTGCCTTATACCAAATGTTTTGTCTTTCCTGGGCGTACTGTCGGTCAGTAAACTATTAGGGGTGTGAAAGTGCGTCGGCCGCGAATAGAACTCCAACATCGTGCGTAGCTAGCGAGCATTCCATCTCTGGATTCCTGTCACATAAAAATAATAGTACCATAATTTGAAGTCTTCGTTTGCAAATATTCTCTGTATTGTGCTCCCCTTGTCTTCCATTCATGATTCATGTTCTTTCTCAAGAATCCTTTAATTCGCCTCTTCGGCGCTCCTCTGTTTAGAACAGGTTACACGTAATTTGCAACTTAAAAATGCGATTTTGAGTACTTAATTGAATATGTATTCAATTCATAGTTTCATTAATACCAAGCTCTGTAAGGGCAGTATAATAACTTGATACTCACAAACATTGTTACTTTTCGAATTCATTGCTTAACAGCCTCACTGTGTAAATTTGATGTGGTTAAATCTTTAGCTGAACGTCTGGAATACCCAAATGAATCTGCCAATTCTACTCCGCTCGATTCATTATCAAGAAAATTAGTCAAAGTGACTGTTGGAGAAGCTAGTGTTAAACCACCTAGAGGAAGTGCCTCCGCGTGCATATGTCCGTCACCCAGGGCTAGTGCAGGAATGGCTTTGGTTGGTTCTAATCTGTACTTATATGGTGGAGTTTTCGAAGTTGGAGACAGGAAAGTTACTTTGGATGATTTTTACAAACTGGATGTGAATCATCCTATTTCGTGGGAGTGTTTGTATCCAGGATCTCAGGAAACACAAGTAATTTATTAGTATTTTTTGTGATGATTTAAGTACTAGGTATCTGTATCTGTTGACTTTTCATCTCATATGAACTAAAATCATATATAGTGTATGATGTCACTATTTAGATAAGGAAGACTCAGCATTTCGGAAGCACACTATGATTAGTGCCATTCTTCGCTGTTCCACACATGGTGGTGTTGAGGTTGCTTTTAATATGTAGCTTTAAAAGTGGCATTCAGTATATGTTACATGATTTAAAGCGTACCTATTTAAATTATTATTGTTCCCTTCGTATCAGAATGGAATAGCGCATCTCCCTCTATTCTTCGCGGTCCTCTTTAGCTCTCCCAACGAATGACCGTAGTCTCCCATCTCCCCCACGTCACCCTTGGACTCCCGAATCGTTGTCCTCTGTTCAGGTTCCTTACGAGCGACAGCCTGGCGCGCGATGTCATTCGTAAGTCTCTTCGGCATTTGCCAGATCTATCTCCATTTTCTTTGGAATATTGTTTGACCGATAGGTTCTTGGTTGGTTCCTTGCCAGAGTTTCTTGTTGCTAATTCTTTCCGGCCGGCCATTTGATCCTCAGCATTGAGTTAAGGCAGCTGTTGATAAAAGTCGTCAGCTTGCTGTTGGAAATACTTCCTGTGACAACCGAATTTTCTGACCCATATGGAAAAACTAACTGACTTAATATTGGTATTGAAAATCCGAATTTTGTTCTCTATTCTGAGTCAGAAGATTTCCAAACTGATTTCAGAGTGATGAACGTCTATCGTGCCTTCTGATTTTGGTTTTGACAACCCCGCCCGTTGCACCCCTAGCTGAAACGATGCTTCCCAGATAAGTGAAGGAAGTAACCTCTTTCAAATTTCTTCTGTTGATAGTAATTTGTGCTGGTTGTTGTTATTGGTTGGTTATTTTCATTACCTCCGTTCGTTGCCAGCATCTTCTACCCATCTGTTGGTTTTCGCCTGTAGGTCTTCGAGCTTGTGTGAGATTGTACATAAATCATCCTTGAAATCTAGATGTTCTAGAGTCTTCCTATTGGTCCAGCATATTCCCGTCTTCTCTCTCCCCACAGTCTCGCACGCAGTCCAGTGCACCAGAACTAGGAATACCGTCGGTGATAGTAGACAGCATTGTCTTCCTCCTGTCTCCACTTCAATGGTTCCTCTGAGCTTTCCGTTGTGGATTATCTGAAACGCGGGATTGTTATATTCCTGTTGAATGAGGTTGATAAAAGTTTTGGGCACTCCGTAGTGTTGAAATACCTCTCGGTCAACGATGTTGAAAGTCTTTTCAAAGGCGATGAAGCTGAGGTGGAGGTTTTACTATCATTCTGTGTTCTGTCGTATGATGATGCATCGGGTTGTTATTTGATCCGCACATGATTAGATTTTTCTGAATTCAGCTAGTTCCGGATGGATTTTCGAGTCCAGAGCTTCCCTTAGTCTCTCCAAGATGACACGACTTAATATTTTGCTAGATGTGGACAAGAGCATAATTCCGTACAGGTTCTTGTAAGGGTGTAAGTCTCCCCTCTTTGGTAGTCCGACGAGGTAGCCTTTCTTTCAGTCAATAGGTACGTTTCCTGCCTTCCAAACTTCTTGCAACAGTGGTGTAAGGATAGCCGCTGTGACTTCTAAATCAGTTTTCAGTGCTTCTGGAGGAATACCGTCCGGTTCTGCTGCCTTCCCGGACTTCAGTAGCTTCATTGGACTCAAAACTTGTGTTTTCGTTGGAGGATTGGTGTCCACTGGCAGTTCTGTGCCTTCTGGTATTGATATTTCTGGACAGGTTTCAGGTGATGGTCGGTTGACGAGTCCATTGAAGTGATCAGCCGATTGTTTTCTTTGTCTCTGCTCTTGGGCAATTAGGTTCCATTGACCATCTTTTATTGGTTCCATCTGAGTTGATCTCTTCCCGGATAGTGATCTGGTTAACTGAAATAGTGTTCTGAGGTCTGTTACCTGCGGCCTGACCTGTTCTGCTTCAGTTGCCAGTGTGTCGTAGAATTGTGTTTTTGTCTCTTCTGCACTTCTTTATTCAGTGCGATATGCATTGAACTCAGCTTCTCCTTCTGCTGTCCATCTTGCATGGTTCAGCTTCTGTTTCACCATCCTCCTCTCCTCTGTTAGCTTCCATGTGTCTGTAGATCTCCATTCCTTGTCTAGCCTCTTCTTCCTTCCTGAAACGGTTGTACACGTTCCCTTGAACACCACTTTCGGACAATTCCAACGTTCTTCCACACAGGTTTCCTCTCTGATGCTGCGTAGTGTCTCCGACTTTACTATGATGGCTGGAGTGAAGGTGTCATTTGCAGTTGAGTCTTTCTGTTTCTGAGTGTTGGACTTGAATTTTGGTCTGTCTCCTATTGTTTTGAAAGCCTTCAGCTTGACCTTGAATGTTCCTCGCACTAGGTGTTGGTCTGAGGCGACTTCTACTCCCTTTCCCGACTTCGTGTCCAACAGACTGTCTCCACTTTCTCGGAATTGAGAGAAAGTTTATCTGAGTTCTGGAGAAACCCATATAGCCTTGTCCATTTACTCATGCTTGTACACAGTGCTTTCAATCACAATCACTGGAGGAACAGAAATCTGCGAAGAGTTCACCGTTTTCATTCATTTTATCGAGTGCCTGTTGAGCGATAATGACTTCTTTCCTGTTTTCTGCTTCCGGTTTAGCATTCATTTTGCCCGTTAGAATTTTCATATCATCTTTTGGTGTTGCCAACAGAAATCTTCCTTCTTCTCTTGTTATGGGTTGTTTGTAAGCGCGCAGCATTGGATAATTGCAACTTCCCTTCCTTTTGAGTTGGATCTTGATGTCATTATCCAGGAGGAGATTCGTCCGCACTCCATAAAGTGCTTTGGATTTTGTTGGTAACATCGTGGTGACCAGTGGTGACCACTCCTTCAATATCCTCATGGCTGTTGTATGAGTGATTGGAGTAGATTACTATCTCTCCAGTTAACAAGTTAAAGAGTGCAATTCCATTCTACCTGCTCTCACAGATTTCTAGCATTTGTATTCAACGTCTCATTTCTTCGACAGCCCGGGCAGCCTTCCCACCTTCTTACATTGTACGAATATTCAATTTCCCCCTTACTTGTGCTTTCATTGTGAGGTGACACATCAACTGACTGGCTTCTCGAAGCCTTGCAGTAGCCGGGGTCATTTCCTCTGTTTGCTCCCAGAGAAGAATAACTTTTTAAAAATATACTTTTCGTGTGCTTTGAAGTTTCTGTAACAATTACATTGATTTTCCATGGCTATCCCTCTCTCTTCTCGGGGTTGCTACTGGCTCAAAAGCTACCGAGCTAGTAAACTAGGCGAGGTTTTAAAGCATCTGAGTGCAGAGCATTTTTGCTAGATCGATCGAATCATGTTTCTCACTCACCGCCTGTGAACTATTTTGACTCTGCTTAGTACGTGTATCTAAGTAGTTGTGTTGATGGTGGAATTGTTATGCGTGTACTCAAGTTAGAGTGGCATACATGAGTATTTGTTACCTCCATTTCCGTTGCAGTACTGGTAACAGTTAGGGTTTATGTTTAAAAATGCTTCAGCGCTCGCAGTTTGGCAATATACCTGTGAAAAATGAAATCTTCCAGCCACAATGTCGCTGCGTGTTCCACTATGACTGTCGCATCAGAAGAGCATGGATCAGATGGTGGCACTGTGAGTAATTCCTATGATACTTGGGGCGTGTTAGGACAGTGTAAAAGTCGTTTTCTAATTCGCATTATCATTTAGGAACTTCAGCTTCATTGCCTTGAACATTTGTTTTTAATATCGTTCCAGCAGCGTTCATGCTATTTGTATAGTATAAGTTAAAAGGAAAGGTCAGCAAAAATGTTCTTTTTGTAACTACACTCAGCTGTACAATTTTAGTGTTGTAAAAGTTCATGGAAATACTTGTAAAGGTCATTTGTTAATGTCAGTTGATAAAACACATTATATAAGAAATTATTACACTAGAAAAAATAGAAAACAGAAATATTGTTGAGAAAAGTAAGAAATTCAGTGTATTACGAAGTTAGGAATTTTCAAAATAAAGAAAAATATGGAATACATACGGAATGATTATTGTACCTGATGAAAAGAAGTTCAAGGCCACGGTAATGAAAGGGTTTAGACAAACCTATTCTGTATATACAGTTCAGAATTTTCTTTGTATGTAGCTTGCGCTCCTGTTGTAGATAAAATGTAACCGTAAACTCTTCAAACGACTCTGCCTTACCGTAATTATCAGTATTGATTCAGAATGATCAAGAATTGAGTTATTGACTCTTAATTCCTCCTTCTGACCATCATGCTGGGGAATATTCTTGCGTTCGTCTAGATCATGTCGTACTAGTGCATTCTATATACTTAGACCCTGAAGAGGAAATGAATTGATGAATGTATATGGATCGTGTTAGCAGTGGGACATTGTTTTTGACGTTTTGGTTAGTAAGCTGTTGCTTGGAGAAGTTGAGGCAGACATACGACCAGGAATGTTCCTGGAACTGTTGTCGATAATCCTTTTCGAAGAACTTTGTTGCCAACTGATAATAACAACTGACCTATATAATCGTTTACATGGCGTTCTAGAATACTATGTAAATGTACAGCTCTGAAGTGATGTTGTGAAAGGAATGTTCTTTGGTGACCTATATCTTTTTAGTTTATACTATCCATTGTTTGTTAACCTGGTTGAAAAAAATGAAATGTCATAACTGTGAGGTGGTATTCACACATAAAGAATAGTTCTGTTGAATTAGTGTTTATCGGTAAGTCAAGACTCATTAAATGATGGTGGGAATTGCGATATACTGTCAGAGATTTTAAATTCACGATTAGTGGCAAATATGTCGTAGTTTTCCGTCTTAACTTTCTAAGTAAATATGAAATAATGGATGCTCCTCTGACTGTACTTGTTAATAAATATGCTTAATCATTTCATTCCGTTTTTGCTGAACTATTATTTTTCTCTTGTATTGTTGCTCGATTATTCTGAATAGCGTATCCTTTGGTGTTGATAGTGTACCGTGTTTGTGTTTTTACATAGTTTTATCGAATTTTGATACTAGTGATTTGTAGTATTGGGTTTTTCTTTCGAAAATTTATCCTAACCTTCAGGCAACCATACCGTATATGTAATAATACTTAAGTTCATCAACGTTTGTTTGATTCCCACCACTGTTCATTTATTTCTATTAGATTTGGTTTAGAAAAATTTTTATGGAGTGGCCGTTAAAAAAAAGTAATATGTGCAATTAAACGTGACATTAATTTTCAGCGATTTAATTAGCTACGTCCTTTGATTTTCACTTTGATGATATCTGTGAAAGTCTCTGACAGGTGAATCTACATTGTACATGGGATCTTTCCTCTATCAACTAAGTAGTTGCCATCTGCTCGCTAGGTCACTAATCATATATATATATATATATATATATATATATATATATCAATGCTTAAATCGTTAGGTATTATCATCATTTTATTGTAATTTGTATTTAGTGTTGTTTGCACACAATGACAAGTGTTAAATTTCCGTATTATATTGGGCGAAATTGCCACTTCTAGTTACACCAGTTGTTGGAATTTTCTTTCCATATGTTTACTAATAATCATCTATATAGTGTTCATATTATGTATTTAATTTTGTATCCAGAATTGTTCCATAGTATTGAAAGTATTATTGAGTCATCGTAGTTGCATGTGTTTGCGGTGTCATTTGTAAATTTAGGTTTTATCATTTATCTTCCTTTCCAATTTTCCATGTTGGACTTCAAAATACAGATACTGACTCAATCAATATTTTTCTCATCCCACATATGAACTCTTTTTAAACTCTAGTGCTCTTCTGTTCCTGTGGGTTAACGCATAGTTTACTGTGCATTCTCATTGAGTCTTGTTGAGTTATATAGGCGTTTAGCTTACAAAGTTAACTGGGCAGTCAGCACAAGATACTTTGTACATTACATTATTTCTGTCCAATTGTTTCGGTCTTTTAACTGGTTTAGTTTGTTTAATTAGATTCATTTTGTGCTCTGATGTACCTTACATGGTAGGACTACAGTTTTCCCACAGTCATCTTTCATACTGCTTTCCGTTTCTGTTTCCTTTCTTGCTTTATCTTCATGTCTGTAACTATTAATAGTAGCATTTTAAATTAAATGTTTATCTCCTGTCGTTGGTTGTCTGGGATTGTTGTCAACCTACCTAGAGTCTGTGAGACCCTGTATCATTCCTCCTGCTGAATGTGGCTATCAAAAAATATTCACAGTGAATTGTTCTTTTGTGGGTCATCCTATTTCACAGGAAAACTCAAACGAACCTGTAAGTCTGGGTGGTGTTTCTCATGGTAAATATACAAAACAATCAATTAGGTCTGAAGTGTGCTTTGCTCTTATTTATCCTATGGTTTTATTTTTGGTAAGTATGCTATAGTTCTTGCAGATTTTACACATAAAGCTTTAGTTCAGTAACACAACCCCCCTCAAATAACTTGGCACAACCGAGGATAGGTAAACTTCTGTCTTCCTGTAGAAATGCTCTCAAGTGGCCACGCGTCCATACCCTCTACCAGGTAAGTCCTATTCACTGCCTTCATGCTATGGGAGGTATTCCTCACACAAGTGAAAGAAAGAATGTAAACGTCTGGTGCTTAACACTAAGCTGGTAGATGTCCACATCTGCATAGGGGAGCTGGAAAACCTGATTGCGAATCTATGGATTCCAGAATCTGAACGGATAGAATAGCTTATTCAACTGTTTTGGTTACTGGTAACCGTGTGAACTCAGTTCAGCTGCTTTGTGGATCAGAGTTCTAGTCAAAGGCTCGGAGAGGGGAGGGGAGTAGCCCTTTAAAGACAACCCCCTTTTTCGATCCGGGTGCCTGGGGTGTATCCTTTCACAAACTGTCATTTGGTTTTTGCGCATTTCGCAGTGCTCGTTAGTCTACCGGCACTCATAGGTCGCATTGGAATTTCATGGGTTAATCTACCTATCAAACCGTCTCTGTATTATTATTGATTATTGTTATTATTAATCACTCCTCACATTCTGAGAGGGTAGGGCCTCATCACCACATCTCTTTACTTATCAGAACAATTGTATTCCGTGTATTTATTTTTTTCATTAGGCTTGGTTTGAAAGTGAGTCAGAAGACGAGGAAGAAGAGGAAGATACAAGCGAGTCTTCAGAGTGTGAAACATTAGATGTTGATGATGAAACTTCAGATTGCAGTGAGGATGGTAAGACAGTAAGAATTAGTTTTCAATTTTGGATTTTATCCTTTTCGCAAGATATAGCAGAGTGATTTAGGGGGAGAGAAAAATAGTAAAATGCGGCAAGTTATCGGAAGAAAGTCTGAGTTCTCCTGTGAAGACATCCAGAACGACTTCAGAAGAAAGTTATTATTTCTTCTCAGCGTCGTCACTCTAAATAAAGGAATAGGAAACAAATTTAGCAGGTGTTAGCATGGGAAATTGTGAATGAGTATTGACTTTAAACATATGTAATAAAAGATGAACAAGGGGACGATTACTAGTATCTGATGATGATACTATGTAAGTCAATATACAATCCCGTCAATTGTATTTAGGTATCACTTAAGCTGTCGTCAAATGAGTGCTGTCATCCTAAGACATCGACATCACTAGTTTTAGTTTGATAGGTACCGATCCTATGGTTTCTTTGCGGTTAGCTGATATGCAGATGAGGAAGTTGTTGCGGGGAATAAAGTCGCACTGTGGATTGACAATTCACTATACTTGTTGACTGTCCACTGACAAAAGTGTTCCACTTTCTCAAAGCCTTTATGATATGGATCAGTTGAAGCTGATTGCTGTTACGCTGCTGTTTTTTGTTAATAAGTCTGGTAAGTGAGACTCTTGTGATCACTTTCTGTTTGCTTTATTGTTGTATTTGTGTGGTGCGTTTCTTGATGCATACGTTGTACCAATTTTGTACGTCGGGTTGAAGTGAATTTATAATAAGTCATGTAAAGAATTATAGAATCTCTGGGTACTTCGAGTACGCATCATAGTATGATATCAAATGATGATATTACTTGACTTGTGTTCACACAAGCTATGATTTATTTCATCATTACTGTGCTGTTGCAGAAGGTTGTAGTCTGTTAATATAGTACACGAAATCCAGAAAGGCGTGAGCTTGTACAGAGTGAATAGCATTTCTGAACGAAACCTGATTTCGGAATATATATTGCAGTTCTAAGTACTTGACCGACTGGTTTCAAATTAGGACTTTGCACAGGTTTGCAGCAGTTCGAGTTACCACACTATGTAGCACACATAGCAAGAGAAGAAAGTAAAGAGAGATTTAAAAGAGGGAGAGATAGTAAACAGAAGAGTAAGGAAAAATTTATATTAATTTGGAAAACAATAGTTTTATTGGATATTATAAACCACAAGGAGTGGATGCATCTGCGCCACAGCACAAATTTTAGCCATACCACCAATCGTTTCCAGCCATTGGTTTTTACCATCCTGTGGACCCCAAGTGGGAAGTCTACACCTTCCTACGTGGCTTAAACTAACTGTTTTGAGTTTCATTGACTGATGCCATGTTTTCGTTTGACCACCACTAACTCTGTTCCAACCTGATACTATGTTAGCTATCATTACCAGTCGAGGAAGACGGTTGCGAGACATGGGTATCATTTGGCTTTAACCATCTCGTCGATTGATTTCTCCTCCTTACCTTAACAAAGCCTAACCTCATTGTTGCTCACCGTATTATACCACCTAACGTGGGAGACAAAACGCAGATACATATGATCAAAGACATGTCTTTCACTTCCGATGACTACGTGTCACAGTCATGAAGGAAGGATGGAGTGAACTGCTGAGCATTCGTGCTAAGATTTCGGCGGCTATCAACCCGTTGAGGCTGGTGCAACTCCCCAAATAAGTGAAGTGGTCAACATGCCCCAGCACTTCACTCCCTATCGTTAAGCTAGGAGTCGATGTAGTCCAGTCCTGTAGCATCAGCTTGCATTCGACCGGAGCGAATAGTATGCCAAACATTCGAAGATTGCAGTTCAAGGTTTTTTCAGAAGACTACATTTTATCAGCGTCTTCACCTAAATGGACTATATCATCTGCATATTCTAAGTCAACTAGATTATTCCCTGGTAATAAGTCAATCCCTGAGTCTCTGAAGTTGTCAGGGTTGAGTCCATTAGTACATCTATGATGAAATTAAACAGAAAAGGGGACAGTGGGCATCCCTGATGGACACTTCTGGTTGTCACCACTTCACTTCGTAGGCTCTCACCTGGCTGCATAGGCTCGAGTAGAGTAATTTGATCAGTGCTGTTTCTTCGTTTAATTGGGACTTAATGTCTCGATCTAGTTACAGACGTAACTGCTTAATTGAATATTTATTCAATTCGTAGTTTTACTCACACCAAGCTCTATGGGGAAAATATGATGACTCGATACTCACAAGTTGGTTTTCGAATTCGTTGCTTAACAGCCTTGCTGTGTAAATTTGATGTGGTTAATTCTATATCTGAAAATATGGATTACTTCTCAGTTTCTGTGGAATGCGGTTTAGTTATGCATGTGACTTCGTGTGCATTTTCTATCGTTGTTATGTGATGTGAAAGCCTTATTTTGTATCAAGAATATTTATTCTTCTTAATTTGGAAATGGTAAAACTTTTCGCGTAGAATTAGTCTGAGAGCAGGAGTCAGGTCCTATAGAATATTTATAATTTGGCTGAATATCGTCAACACTCAAAGATGTTTTTTCATTTTAAAATGTTAAACATTGTTTGAAATTATGTGTCCAAACCAAGTTCACTTTTAACGGTTTGAAAAAATTCAGGCATCAGGTATATGATATTCATTATAAGAAAGGATTTTTGTATTTCCCAATAAATGGAAAACAATATCGTTTTGTTTTCCATTTATTTGGAAGTACAAAAAAACCTGTATTGTAGTGAATTATATGAAGGTCTCTAAATTAATCTGTTACATGAATTCGATATACTATCTGTGTATGCATGGTATTGTCTTCACCTCTGTATTTGTTCGCTGTTTAGTAGTCCTTTGCTCCTTGTCTTATATATTCGTTTAAAGGAACTATTTTGTGACGGTGCAGACCCCTTAGGAAATATATTATGAAATAATGAAGAAATTGTAGATCATATATATTTAAATCAATTAGACCAAAGTAATTGATTGAGATGAAATCTGTGTACTCCAAGTTAAAAATTACCCTTATGAATTTAGAAATTAGGATGAAAATTTTGATTACAAAAACCACCTGTGTGACAGTCTTACAACTCCATAGAAGTGCGTTTTTGCCCCTTCAGTATTTATATAATTATCTCTAACTTACATAAAATATTCTTCAGGCATTTTTGAAAGAGCACCAATTCCACAAGTCCTCGAAACGTTCTCAGGTTATTGGAAACGGACAATGCAGTTTTGGTGTGAATTGGCTTACAACGGCTCTGACAATCAGGAAGAAAATCGTAATCGATTGGTTCAAGAAACTACCGAAAACCCCATCATTGTAAATCTTGCAAAAAAACTGTCTCAAGACTTCTACCAAAGCTCCATCTCCAAACGCTAACCTCTAAATTAAAAAAAAAAAATGAAAAATACACTGATTCTTAAACATCAGACTAACGATCCACTCATATCTTGAACCTTGTGACCGATAAGAAGGTGGATGAGCATTGGGTAGTGGTGCTTGAGCCTGTTCGCCTCGTAGTCTCAGTCCTCGTGACACTCCATCCACAATAGTGTGTTGCATGCAGACGAGTGAAGTGTCTGTCACACACTGGGTCGAGAAATCTCTGTCGTCTTTCCTTATTCACAATGCTTTGCTAGGTGATTTGTGTTGGTGACGCGAAGTATGCAGACAAGAAGTTATCGAATGCATAGGTGGAGATTGTAGGCTAATAGAGTGTTGATTCATTGTGGACTAATATGTTGACGGTTTGTGAGGGATGAGAAGGTGGATGAGGATTGGGTAGGTGGTGGTGTTTGGCGCCTGTGGTGAGTTACTCGCAGATGTCAGAGAAGGCATATGGCGAAATGACACAGGTAATAATTGACTCGTGATTGCTTTCCAACGACGGAGTAGGTGGTGCTTGAGCCTGTTCGCCTCGTAGTCTCAGTCCTCGTGACACTCCATCCACAATAGTGTGTTGCATGCAGACGAGTGAAGTGTCTGTCACACACTGGGTCGAGAAATCTCTGTCGTCTTTCCTTATTCACAATGCTTTGCTAGGTGATTTGTGTTGGTGACGCGAAGTATGCAGACAAGAAGTTATCGAATGCATAGGTGGAGATTGTAGGCTAATAGAGTGTTGATTCATTGTGGACTAATATGTTGACGGTTTGTGAGGGATGAGAAGGTGGATGAGGATTGGGTAGGTGGTGGTGTTTGGCGCCTGTGGTGAGTTACTCGCAGATGTCAGAGAAGGCATATGGCGAAATGACACAGGTAATAATTGACTCGTGATTGCTTTCCAACGACGGAGTAGGTGGTGCTTGAGCCTGTTCGCCTCGTAGTCTCAGTCCTCGTGACACTCCATCCACAATAGTGTGTTGCATGCAGACGAGTGAAGTGTCTGTCACACACTGGGTCGAGAAATCTCTGTCGTCTTTCCTTATTCACAATGCTTTGCTAGGTGATTTGTGTTGGTGACGCGAAGTATGCAGACAAGAAGTTATCGAATGCATAGGTGGAGATTGTAGGCTAATAGAGTGTTGATTCATTGTGGACTAATATGTTGACGGTTTGTGAGGGATGAGAAGGTGGATGAGGATTGGGTAGGTGGTGGTGTTTGGCGCCTGTGGTGAGTTACTCGCAGATGTCAGAGAAGGCATATGGCGAAATGACACAGGTAATAATTGACTCGTGATTGCTTTCCAACGACGGAGTAGGTGGTGCTTGAGCCTGTTCGCCTCGTAGTCTCAGTCCTCGTGACACTCCATCCACAATAGTGTGTTGCATGCAGACGAGTGAAGTGTCTGTCACACACTGGGTCGAGAAATCTCTGTCGTCTTTCCTTATTCACAATGCTTTGCTAGGTGATTTGTGTTGGTGACGCGAAGTATGCAGACAAGAAGTTATCGAATGCATAGGTGGAGATTGTAGGCTAATAGAGTGTTGATTCATTGTGGACTAATATGTTGACGGTTTGTGAGGGATGAGAAGGTGGATGAGGATTGGGTAGGTGGTGGTGTTTGGCGCCTGTGGTGAGTTACTCGCAGATGTCAGAGAAGGCATATGGCGAAATGACACAGGTAATAATTGACTCGTGATTGCTTTCCAACGACGGAGTAGGTGGTGCTTGAGCCTGTTCGCCTCGTAGTCTCAGTCCTCGTGACACTCCATCCACAATAGTGTGTTGCATGCAGACGAGTGAAGTGTCTGTCACACACTGGGTCGAGAAATCTCTGTCGTCTTTCCTTATTCACAATGCTTTGCTAGGTGATTTGTGTTGGTGACGCGAAGTATGCAGACAAGAAGTTATCGAATGCATAGGTGGAGATTGTAGGCTAATAGAGTGTTGATTCATTGTGGACTAATATGTTGACGGTTTGTGAGGGATGAGAAGGTGGATGAGGATTGGGTAGGTGGTGGTGTTTGGCGCCTGTGGTGAGTTACTCGCAGATGTCAGAGAAGGCATATGGCGAAATGACACAGGTAATAATTGACTCGTGATTGCTTTCCAACGACGGAGTAGGTGGTGCTTGAGCCTGTTCGCCTCGTAGTCTCAGTCCTCGTGACACTCCATCCACAATAGTGTGTTGCATGCAGACGAGTGAAGTGTCTGTCACACACTGGGTCGAGAAATCTCTGTCGTCTTTCCTTATTCACAATGCTTTGCTAGGTGATTTGTGTTGGTGACGCGAAGTATGCAGACAAGAAGTTATCGAATGCATAGGTGGAGATTGTAGGCTAATAGAGTGTTGATTCATTGTGGACTAATATGTTGACGGTTTGTGAGGGATGAGAAGGTGGATGAGGATTGGGTAGGTGGTGGTGTTTGGCGCCTGTGGTGAGTTACTCGCAGATGTCAGAGAAGGCATATGGCGAAATGACACAGGTAATAATTGACTCGTGATTGCTTTCCAACGACGGAGTAGGTGGTGCTTGAGCCTGTTCGCCTCGTAGTCTCAGTCCTCGTGACACTCCATCCACAATAGTGTGTTGCATGCAGACGAGTGAAGTGTCTGTCACACACTGGGTCGAGAAATCTCTGTCGTCTTTCCTTATTCACAATGCTTTGCTAGGTGATTTGTGTTGGTGACGCGAAGTATGCAGACAAGAAGTTATCGAATGCATAGGTGGAGATTGTAGGCTAATAGAGTGTTGATTCATTGTGGACTAATATGTTGACGGTTTGTGAGGGATGAGAAGGTGGATGAGGATTGGGTAGGTGGTGGTGTTTGGCGCCTGTGGTGAGTTACTCGCAGATGTCAGAGAAGGCATATGGCGAAATGACACAGGTAATAATTGACTCGTGATTGCTTTCCAACGACGGAGTAGGTGGTGCTTGAGCCTGTTCGCCTCGTAGTCTCAGTCCTCGTGACACTCCATCCACAATAGTGTGTTGCATGCAGACGAGTGAAGTGTCTGTCACACACTGGGTCGAGAAATCTCTGTCGTCTTTCCTTATTCACAATGCTTTGCTAGGTGATTTGTGTTGGTGACGCGAAGTATGCAGACAAGAAGTTATCGAATGCATAGGTGGAGATTGTAGGCTAATAGAGTGTTGATTCATTGTGGACTAATATGTTGACGGTTTGTGAGGGATGAGAAGGTGGATGAGGATTGGGTAGGTGGTGGTGTTTGGCGCCTGTGGTGAGTTACTCGCAGATGTCAGAGAAGGCATATGGCGAAATGACACAGGTAATAATTGACTCGTGATTGCTTTCCAACGACGGAGTAGGTGGTGCTTGAGCCTGTTCGCCTCGTAGTCTCAGTCCTCGTGACACTCCATCCACAATAGTGTGTTGCATGCAGACGAGTGAAGTGTCTGTCACACACTGGGTCGAGAAATCTCTGTCGTCTTTCCTTATTCACAATGCTTTGCTAGGTGATTTGTGTTGGTGACGCGAAGTATGCAGACAAGAAGTTATCGAATGCATAGGTGGAGATTGTAGACTAATAGAGTGTTGATTCATTGTGGACTAATATGTTGACGGTTTGTGAGGGATGAGAAGGTGGATGAGGATTGGGTAGGTGGTGGTGTTTGGCGCCTGTGGTGAGTTACTCGCAGATGTCAGAGAAGGCATATGGCGAAATGACACAGGTAATAATTGACTCGTGATTGCTTTCCAACGACGGAGTAGGTGGTGCTTGAGCCTGTTCGCCTCGTAGTCTCAGTCCTCGTGACACTCCATCCACAATAGTGTGTTGCATGCAGACGAGTGAAGTGTCTGTCACACACTGGGTCGAGAAATCTCTGTCGTCTTTCCTTATTCACAATGCTTTGCTAGGTGATTTGTGTTGGTGACGCGAAGTATGCAGACAAGAAGTTATCGAATGCATAGGTGGAGATTGTAGGCTAATAGAGTGTTGATTCATTGTGGACTAATATGTTGACGGTTTGTGAGGGATGAGAAGGTGGATGAGGATTGGGTAGGTGGTGGTGTTTGGCGCCTGTGGTGAGTTACTCGCAGATGTCAGAGAAGGCATATGGCGAAATGACACAGGTAATAATTGACTCGTGATTGCTTTCCAACGACGGAGTAGGTGGTGCTTGAGCCTGTTCGCCTCGTAGTCTCAGTCCTCGTGACACTCCATCCACAATAGTGTGTTGCATGCAGACGAGTGAAGTGTCTGTCACACACTGGGTCGAGAAATCTCTGTCGTCTTTCCTTATTCACAATGCTTTGCTAGGTGATTTGTGTTGGTGACGCGAAGTATGCAGACAAGAAGTTATCGAATGCATAGGTGGAGATTGTAGGCTAATAGAGTGTTGATTCATTGTGGACTAATATGTTGACGGTTTGTGAGGGATGAGAAGGTGGATGAGGATTGGGTAGGTGGTGGTGTTTGGCGCCTGTGGTGAGTTACTCGCAGATGTCAGAGAAGGCATATGGCGAAATGACACAGGTAATAATTGACTCGTGATTGCTTTCCAACGACGGAGTAGGTGGTGCTTGAGCCTGTTCGCCTCGTAGTCTCAGTCCTCGTGACACTCCATCCACAATAGTGTGTTGCATGCAGACGAGTGAAGTGTCTGTCACACACTGGGTCGAGAAATCTCTGTCGTCTTTCCTTATTCACAATGCTTTGCTAGGTGATTTGTGTTGGTGACGCGAAGTATGCAGACAAGAAGTTATCGAATGCATAGGTGGAGATTGTAGGCTAATAGAGTGTTGATTCATTGTGGACTAATATGTTGACGGTTTGTGAGGGATGAGAAGGTGGATGAGGATTGGGTAGGTGGTGGTGTTTGGCGCCTGTGGTGAGTTACTCGCAGATGTCAGAGAAGGCATATGGCGAAATGACACAGGTAATAATTGACTCGTGATTGCTTTCCAACGACGGAGTAGGTGGTGCTTGAGCCTGTTCGCCTCGTAGTCTCAGTCCTCGTGACACTCCATCCACAATAGTGTGTTGCATGCAGACGAGTGAAGTGTCTGTCACACACTGGGTCGAGAAATCTCTGTCGTCTTTCCTTATTCACAATGCTTTGCTAGGTGATTTGTGTTGGTGACGCGAAGTATGCAGACAAGAAGTTATCGAATGCA